TTCCACTAGGATTGGTAATGGTACAACCCATCTGTCACTGATTCAGATCAAGGCCATGACATCACTAAAAACCTGAGAATTACAATCTAAGCTAATTATTTATTCAGACATGCTCAGTTGCTCGGTAAGTTTGGATAAAAATCTTGAAAAAGACCCACTTAGGATTTTCAGATCTGGAAAAAAAATGACGTGCATACACGGCAGAGACTAGTTCATCAACCTGCCGATATCAGATATCTGCAGCAGAATTTCTGAGAAAATGTTGGAGACGAAAAGTGGAAAATGGACATTTACAAAACCTGTTTTATAAAAATCACATATTAAAGCAGACCAAGCCTATATGGTTAATCTACAGCAGCTTAGCAGCTTCCCTCTAAGTTTTCACAGAATGGTAAGCAGAGTGAAGAAGAAATGTGGTATATAATAGCTCCAACATTATGAAAAAATCACAGTTAAACTATACACAGCTTGCCTTGTATACGCAAGGGTGGGCATATCATAGCATAGTGTGGGGATACCATTAAATATGTGGCGCAGATCACAGCATAAAATCAAGAGACTACAAAGCGTAGGGAAGATCGCAGCATACGATCAGAAGATCGTAGCATAGGGTGGAGGAAGCTACATGACCATATATGGTCTTCAATCAATTTTTTAAATGTTTTCACCTCCAATAGGGTTCCAGATATATTCTATATCCAGACTACTAAATCCCACAGCAGCAATATGTGCCAGGGAATAATATGCATGTCATATTATATATATACATATACATTAAGTCTTACCTGCCACATATTTTAATATCAATAGTCTCGTCATTAATTACAACAAATGGTGGTGGCCTAATGTCTACTTCAAATTTAGGCAGAACTGAAAGACAAAATAACAGATTAGTAAGTAATATAACAACCCAAATTCAAACAAGTATGCATAAGCCACATAAAATTCAGACAAACTGAACACAGCAAAGATAATAAATAAGATTTAAACAAGCAGCCTGTCGGCTGAGATAGCTCCGCTATTAGCAAGGCACATTTCAATTAAAGAACTGAAGATATCAACAAGAATTCGAAAATATCACTTTTTACCAGAAATGACAAAAATTTGAGAATTAAAGATATCATCACAAAATGAACAAATCTGAAAGAGATTTACCTGAGGTACCTATATGTATGGTATCAAAGCAATCAGACTTGCGTTTTTTAACATTAAGTCGAAAATATCACTCTTTACCAAAAATGACAAAAATATTCACCAAAAATATTCACCAAAAATAGAGAATTTGAGATTTTGACATGAAATGAGCAAATCTGAGAAAGAACCATCCAAGGTACTTGCATATCAAATTTGAAAAGATTCTGACTTGCGGTTTCTTTGGAAAAAGAAGTTGAAATTGTAAAGTTGACAAGGACTGACGGACGACAAAGACGGCGGATGGACAATCAGTAAATATCACTTTTCACCAAAAATAACAAAAATATTCATCAAAATCAAATAATTTAAAGATATCATCACGAAATGAACAAATCTAAGAGAGGTCTACCCAAGGTACATATACACCCCGTATCAAATCATTCAGGCTTGTAGTTTTTAAGCTAAAGATGGATTTAGTTCTTTTGCCAAGAAGTGTATCATACAAGTATTGTTCTGAGGATTTGCCATATTGCTAGGAATAAACAGAAGGATCATACATGTGCAACACACAGAAGGTGTTGTGAAATTAGTATGGTGAAATTAGTATGGACTCCCTTAACTTTGTGAATTGGTCCTAAAGAACAGGTCTCAGAAACTTGATGTGGATTCTCTAACTTTGTGAATTGAGTTCTACGTTCTAAGGCCCAGGAAATTTGCATTATCTTCAAGTAGTTCCCCCTCCCCCCCCCCCCCGAGTCCAATCCCCTGGACATAGAAATAGCAACAATCACTATGCTCACTTCACCCTTTGAATATCATGACATCTAGATCATAAAACTTTTATCTTACCATATTCATCAACATCAAAATGTTGAATGATAATTGTTTCCTCCATATCACATTTAATTTTCCAAGTTCCCAAGATGGGTTCTTCAGACAGGGGCATTTCAAGTTCAACCAAGCCTTCATTTGTGCTCACATTTCGCCACTGAATCAACCTTACACCAGAAGGATTTTCAATCCACACAGTAGACAACTGTAAAGAAATGTAAATAATATGTGGACATGATTATAGAATCCTGCTGCAGACTTCCAAAAAATTCCAGATGTTTTATACTAACATCTGGAAAATGGAATGGAGCAGATGATATTGCCATCATGTAAAAATCAAAGAAAGTTTAGAAAGAACTTCGCGTGCTGAGAGTATTGGAGACAATTTAACAGACCATCTATGTACCATGTTTTATTGAAATGCAATTAGAACCAAAAAATTATAAATTATTATGCTAATTATAGAAATAATAGATTTTAACCCAAAACTAATCAGGTTTGCACATTGTCCTAGAGCAACTACGTATCAAGTTTCATTGAAATTGAATAATTAGTACTGTAGATATTAGTGTAAAAGCATAAAATTGATTTAATTATGCAAATTAGGTAATTAATATGTACAGATTTTAACCCCAAATTAATCAGGTCTGTCTATTGTTCTAGAGCATTTATGTACCAAATGTTATTGAGATGTGATGATTAGTATTTGAGATATCAGTAAAGTTATATACTGCTACGAAAATTTTCCTGACATTGAGGCAGTTTCATTCTTGTCTTAATTAAATCATCTAATGGCTAACAATCTGGATAATGACAATTTAATGTTTTACAACACTTGGTCTAGAACTCTGCATTTTGTACCAGAATAAAAGATGATTTTTAGATGTATAACCTATTCAAAACCAAAGTCACTCAATTTCTATTTACTCTCTGGCACTATACATTTTGCATTACAAATTCACATTCCATGAATTGTATACTATCAACTTTTGATTTAAGATTTCACTATAATACCTCAATATTTATTCAAAATGGCTGTCACGCACAGTTTAGTTCTATCACACTTTGCATGTGTAAACAAATCAAGCAGCTATATATACAGTGACAATAGCATTATTACAGCATGGGTTCTACTTGATAATCAGAAAAAGTTCGCCGGACAGTAAAACACTTCATATTTACGCCTTTGCTCGTATTGGGGAGTTAACTGCGCTTTTGTTTTCGGTACACGATAGCCCAAAAAATATCAACGTCAACAACAGTGATTCTCAGAATTAATTTTCCTACAATGCCACTTCATGTCAATTCATTTTTTAAACATGCTTTACATTAAGTTGTACATGCTATTTTTGCCAGTGTTCTTGCACACTACAGAATTGTCAGAAACATTTTATTTTGACATAACACTCCCATGACTTACAAGAAATGTTTTACTCACCATGTGTTTATATGGCTTGAATTCTGTTCCCTCAATGCTTAATATTCTAAATTTCACTGTAAAATAAGTAGAAAGTCATTGTAAATGATGACAAAGAAAGTAGCCATGATAACACACTGGATTTAACAATTCTTTACACATACATACATGTATACGCTTGGAAGGTGGTTGTGCTCTGATAACAGGTTTCCAATATTTGAACTAAGGGGCAAAAGCAGTACAGTCTATGCAACCATAACCTAACATTTAGCTAAGCTACGGTAGTTCAGTTTGCTTTCAAAACTGCCTAAATATGCTTCATATCAGTTACTTAAGTTGTAGTCTATTTACATAATCATGCCGCAAAAATAAATCGTAAATGAAATTGAAAATCAGAAAATTAATGTTCAACATGATTTTCCACTGTGACTGGTTTATTAGAATTGGTAAAACATCACAAATTCAAGCAGTCTGTATGCTACCTTACCGATCAGACTATGACCAATGTTTGATTTGAAAACCAAAATCGTTTTGAGAAATATTGAAAATAAAACTTTCTATGAAAATACTAATGATTGAAACTAAACAATGAAATCAAAAACATTCCATGTAAGGTCAAACAAATTTGATGTTGAAATGTTCAATTTGCTTTCCATCATGGCTGGTGACCTTTTGGCTCAAACTTATTCACAGAATGCAGCCTATCTGCCATTGGGGGGGAGGGGGGACTCCAATTATAATGCTATGTCGAGACAACTGAAATACTGCATTCTGGGTATATGCAACACACATGGCTGGCATGACTATTTACGATCGCCGCAACGTTCAGTTACCATTACGACCAGGGATATTTTATACAGTTCAGTTGTTATTGTGGTCAATTAACCAAGAAATCTCCATCACCTGTTTTGCCACTTTTTTTGCACAAGTATAATATTGATTTTACCCACAACTTGTGTTTTCATTCTAAATTATAAAACTAAAAATTGTACAGTGTATGAGTAGTTTACAAAAAATGTACAAACATTATGTATAATGCAAATTATATACTAATTATTATGCAAACAAGTCATCATTCTCGACAAAAATTTTGGGAAGAACACTGCTCATGCTGAACATTCAGCAGGAAGCGTTGATACAGCTCCTTGTGTTTAGCTGCGTTTTCATGGCTATTTACCAAATTTGCTGAATTTTGGCTGGATGAAATTTTTTAATATAAAATATATAAATAAATAAATAAATAAACAAGCAGCCTATCGGCTGAGATAGCTCCGCTGTTAGAAATGCACATTTCAATTAAAGAACTG